GTAAACCAGAAAATTCACCAAATAAATCTTTAATTGTTATATCAATAGCATGTCGAATAGTAAAACATAATTCAATTGATGTAAGTGACATAATCAGTTGTTGTTTATTTATGGCTTTTAATACACCATCAAAATCAATAATACATAAACGTGCGTAGATATATTGTAAATTATCCAAGGAGTATAAACACTTTTCTCGTTGAATTTGTCTTTTACTAGAACAATTTTTATTATTATCCTTTAATGAATTTAAATCTATTTCGTAATACATATCTGTAAAATAAAAAAAATAAAGAAAAACAAAGAAAAAAAGTGAGGGAAATCGGATTTTAAAAAAAACAAACAGCCGTCATGTTATCATTTTTGTTTGAACGTATAAAACAGAAACGTTTTGAGTAGTGTACATTTAATTAATGAAACTGATGGAATTAGTCATTCAATAACAATGTAGACACATTGACATATAGATTTTAGTGGCCCTCAATCGAACTCCACTTAGATCGGACAAATGATCAATTATTGAATGATTGTTGTTGAAATATACATTCTGACTATTCTTGTATATAATTATCGACTTAAATTGCATTAGTGAATAATGGAATTAAATAAATTAAATATGAGAATGGATTTTTGAATACGTATATTTTGTACAGACAATCAGAGCGGTGAAGAGGAATGATGTACAGTGGAGAAGACCTGTGAACCAACTCAATTTAATCAAGTTTTAATCGGTATTTAGTCACACAAAAATAAGCTTTGGGTTTGTGATGAATAGGATAAGATGTAAACACATATACATTCATATAAAAACATTCAGGGTTGATAAGTGAATAATTAACAAGGTAAAAATGTGATTCAAGCAGAATGAACAAACTGATTTGTCCGGAAGCCAGAATAAGCTATGTGGGGTTGCCTAACACTACAAAGTATAAGGATAAATTCCATGCAAAATTATGATCTAGGCAAGTAACTTTTAACTTTTAAGGATGTCAACTTGATACATGTCATTTCGTGTTTCAGAACTTCTATGCTCTTATGACTGACTTATTATAGTGGATATCAGAAGCGCATAAAAAATATTAAGTTACCTTCATTTTAGTTTTAATAACGTCTACTATATAAAAGGTAAAAAGCATGAAAGATGTACTGTCTGAGTGACTCATTTTAGAACTTCGAGGTTTCCAGTTCGAATTCACTTAACCTTGCTAAATATAAAGCTCATCTTAAGATGGTGAAGATTTGCAACTTGAGTGGATGACTTTAGTGGAGTCTCCTCCTTAGGAAAAGTTTATGCTGTCTAGAATAATAATGAGTGTTTCACGATAAGGCTGCCGAACTCAGAGGATGAAACTCCACTGAAATTTTAACTAAAAAAATAGACAATTGCTGAATGCTTTCAGATTTTGAGTGCTAATCCAACTGCTTAGATCAATTTCGAAATACAGTCGAAGAAAAAAGTGTTTATTAAAAAAAATGACTATGCTTCATTCATATTACTAAATATTGTCCATGTTTAAACGAAAAATCTGTTAAGGATCCACATTCCAACCAACTATAAAAATCTGGTGAACGTATGCCATTTGAAATAACATGCTACTAACAAAGACGTTGTACATATTTACACTTTTATGTGCTTAAACCGTTATATTCTAAGAAATTAGAGATGTATGTTTCCCTTTTTACAGTTATTATAAATGGTTTTCATCTAGTTCCATGTCCGCAAGAAATTCATCGAGTAACGTTAGAAGCACAAAACCCAAAGAAAATTTATGCTTGTGTAGAGCGTTAGGGATCTGTTTTTTAAAAAATAAAAAACAGTATACGAACTATGATCAGCATATTTTAAACAAATGAGACGTTCAAGAACACCAGTATAAAATCAATGTATGAGTGGAGGTAGTTCATACGAACATTTGAGCCTATTTTGTAGACTTATGTCGGTTTTTAGCAATACATGTCTGCAATGTCAATCAAAATTAATACTGTTTCGCAAATTTCAACTTGTGTAAAAGATTGGGCAATTTAGAGAAGTTACTTGTCCAATTCTTTTAAAAAATCCAACTCAACTAAAATTTCACTACGGAGTAATTGGAGTCATTCTTTGTCGTCAGAATAAAAAAAGTAATAAACAGAATACGATCACTAATGACGCGAGTTCATAGTTTCTAAGGAGAATGTGCCACTCAAGTTGTACATATAATTTAATGAAAACCATAAGCCAATATCAGTTATCTTCAATCATGTAAAACGATATATCGAGTAACTTCAATGGAATTCGAATGAATATATAATATAGTCAGCACGAAGAGTTCGATATAATGTAACATATCTGTACATACAACTGCCTTAAATATGCAGGAAGACTGAAGCAGGTTTAATGCACAAAACTTTCTAAATGTAGTTTTCAGATGTTCAATCAAGGCAGTAGGTGAAATAATGGAAAGTAACACACTAACTTATTTCACAGACAAGATCTACAATAAAATTTAACAGGCAATTAAACAAGTATAGTTCTATGATATTGCGATTCCCTATGCTGCGTGCTCACTTAAACATTGTAAAAGAGAATATTGATCACTTTGACAACTATTATATTTTAACAATAAAATAATCGTTTCATTAAACATGAAAATTGTATAAGATATATGGATCTATCGCCGGAAGAAATTTTGCTCTGTGACTGGTTATCTTAGATCTAAGCGTTGATATGCTTATTTGGAACTCAAGACGAAGCTCAATATTTGAAGATCCAAAGGGTAATAAAGTAAACCAGTAAAGCCATAATAGCCATCGAACTATTAGTAGAGTATGATATTATTCGTTGGAGCCTTTGTTCATACTTAGGACTTAAATATAGATAAATGAAAACATTTACTTTTAAATATTCTAGTTTATGTTCTAAATAAACAATGTTTGACGGCCGTATTTTAGTCAAGCATTAACAAACACGAATGGATGCCAAAAACAATGAGTTCTCTCTGGAAATATTTCATTTTTGGGCATTATATAAGTAGAAGATGATATTTAAGCACGAAACAACTGACTGATAAGTAAATTTCTGTAGAAAAATTGAAACTAATAAAACTCAGTAATGTTTGTATGTCGAAAGAGGAAATCTGATTAGACAAATTTACAATGTTATCGCAGTTCTATATCATATTGTTCATCCAACACTTTTGAAATATCTCTGAAGACAAATAAGAATAATTAATAATGACTCGATTGAACATTGAGGAACACTTTCAAGTGATTGTTTAATAATTTCCATATTAGAATTTAGAAATCCCGGGTTAGGTTTCAGACAATTACTACCTCTATATTGCAACATATCACTTAGTTTTATTATTGAAGCAAACTTATTATAAACTGGTTAATGTAGGACAGAACGGGTTAAAAAGTCATTACATTTTTTTACTGTCAATTATGACGGTTTACTGTTTTTAAAATTCTGAGTCATACCGTTCCTTCGTATACATGTGGTAGAATAATAGACTACCTAAATAGATATAAAGTAGTTAAAATCACAATCACAAATATTTAAGAAGCAATGATCATAATGAACATTTATTTATTGAAGCAAAGGAAGTAAGCATGGAAAAAATGACAATACACTGATTATTCATTAAATAAGTGATCAAAATGACAGACAACATGAAAACGTTATGATAATGCAAATATGATTAAAATTCGAGATAAAACATTTGGGGAAATGAACAATCCGATAATCCGGTAGCCGTTAATAAAGATCAACAACTACGTTGCACGTTTAAATCAAACGAATCATAAGATATACATATTGCAATTGTTAGTTAATGTTGAAAAGTAAAAAGAAAGCTCAACCAGAAGTACCTTCAAATAACTAGCGTATAAAGTTTTTTTCTTACTACTGGTCAAAAACAAATTTAACGCCCATTCTATGATATCTCTGAAGGTGGGATGAATAGAGAGAAGTGAAAAATTCTGGCAGAGTTCGGTGAAATCAATAAAATACCTCCACAAAACAATAAAGGACAAATCAAAACAAAAGAGAGGACAAAAATTACAAGAGAAAAAGTTTTGATAAAATTGCACAGAAGAAAAAATAAACACAAATAACTAACAATGAGTGAAGTAAAACAGCAGTGAAAACGAACGAAGCAAATATTAGTAGACTAAGACAATAAAGAATTTAAAATCAAGATGAGAATGACTGTCATAATTTAAAATATTTTAGTGGTGATTGGTGATGAATAATGTAGTTGATAATTACTAACAGCTTGATAGCATTGAAACATACACCGTCATATACACAAATAAATGTATATGCAACTGATGTTCTTCGTTATGATTGCCTAGAAGATTAAAATGCTTTAGTTTTATTACTTAACTTCCTCACCATAGAATATGAGAACATGAATAGCGTAACTTCAATTACTGTGTACGTGTGTGTGTGTGTGGATGACAGTGAGATAATGACAAACAATTATACTATATTAGCGATCAGTAAACAGTAAATGGATTAATCAGGGTATAAAACAATTAAAAACCTAAATTTAGGCATAACAGTTGCATAAGTTGTAATGAAAAGAGAATGCTACTATTTAAAATGTAATACTTGTAAAATCATTGTATGTGTATAAATATCAATATTACGATTAAAATAAGTAAACACAGCTACAATGAAACGTAAAATCATTATATAAGCAAAGCAATGAGTAAGATAAATATAAAAGAATTGATGAGATGAAGTGTCAAGAATAGACACAAGTACACATGAAAACATGCAGATACGAAAAGCATACATTAACAATAAATAATAATGATGGGGACAACAACAATAATGAGAACAACAAACACTAATTAAGATGAGTAAGCGAGAAGAAGAAAAACAACAACATTAAACGGATGCGATGAAAAATTACGCTAAACAAAAACCGTATGACTGTTACACATTCAATGATGTAATAATTTCCTAAACAGTTCAACAATATCCATCGTTTAAAACCTCCGTGCTGTCCATTTTAAATTTCAGCTACAGGTAGACCATAACGTTCAGCTAACGATATACACGATGTCATTGATTGTGGATCCTCAATATCTTCTAAACCAACTCCGTTAATAATTCGACGTGGTGGTAATGCTGGTGGTGGTGTACAAGTTGTGTTCGGTATAGGAACAGCTGGTTTCACCATTGTATTCATCATCATTGCCATGTTAACATTATTCATGAAATTGTTTTGTATCAAACCAATAGCTTCATCATATCCTGGTGGTGGATTGTCTTCATCAACTGGTACTTGAGTGTTAATATCATTATTAGTGGTAGTATTTGTAGCAGTAGTAGTATTAATGCATGAATCTAATCTCCTAATGTTATTATTGACTATTGGAATTGGAGACTGTAAACTACTCGGTGTTGTTTGATTTTCTCGAAATGTATCCATACCTTCTGTGGCAGCAGCTAACAAAGCCATAGCAGCTTGTTGATCAGCTTCAGTAAGTGAATCAGTTCCAACGGACGTTGGTGACATAGATAAACAACGATTATTTGATATTGTTATTAATGCATTCCCATTATTCAAATTATTATTATTACCAGAATTTGTAGTATTAGTGTTAGACTGTTGTTGTAGAGGTTGACAATTTTGTTGCGATGAACCAAGTGGAATGGGAGCAGTTTGTGCAGTAACAACGGCAACAGATGTTTGTATTTGTCCATTCACTACTTGTTGTCTTCGTTGATCAGTCGGTACTGGTTGTTGTACTTGTGATGGTTGTGACTGAAATGGATACTGATGATTAACTGGTTGTTGATTAAAAGGAACAGGTTGATTTTGTTGTTGTGTTTGTGGTGGTAAATTTGCAGCCTGTTGAAGATTCATTTGTTGCAATTGACATGTTGGGGGAGGTGGTGGAAGAGGAAACTGTTGTTGCTGTGATTGTTGTACAGACTGTTGTTGGTGTGATTGTTGTACAGACTGTAGATGAAACTGATTAGAAACAGGTGTTTGGTTAGCTACTAACTGTTGTTGTTGCTGTTGAAGTTGGTTCTGAAATTGAAAGTTGGACGGTTGCTGCTGCTGCTGTTGTTGTTGTTGTTGTTGAAATGATTGAGATATTTGTGGTTGTGGTTGGATCAAATTCGTTTGAGATTGTTGGGTCGGGGGGAAATATTGCGATTGTGCACGTGGTTGATGGTGTTGTTGTTGTGCTGGTGGTACTGCTGGTTTGTTGTATACTTGACCATTTGAATTTAATTGGTTTATTTGTTGAGTATTAGCCTAGTATATGAAAAAATTCAAAGACAAATAAGTGGATAATAATCTACAGAATATTTTACTAATAGTTCACTGATTGTAAGCAATTATTAGAAAGTAATTCATGATGGTGTTGTCTGCTTCAATCTTTCTATTGAAGATTAGGACGGGAATTGATGAGTCTCCTATTGGCATATGTGCATCCTGTGAGGATTGTTTCGCTACTACTTGCATCCAAGAGATGTTCACTCTGAGAATAAGGCAATATAGAGATAATACGCACAAGATACACATATGCAAATAAGAGACTAATCGATTACAGTCCTAAATATCAATCGGAAGATTCGGACAAACAATACATAAAGAAATAAAAACTTCACTCCATTGCACAAGCATGTGGCTATTTGGACTCAGTAGCTAAGTGAATAACGTGATGGCGGGTGGAGCGAAAGGAAATGAGTCCAAGTCCCGGTCAGTCAGCTACAACATAGGACCAGGCACATATGTGCATCGGTCCAAATCGCCATAACTCATTAGTACAATAAGATGAACATCGGATTCATGGAAGTGGTTAATTCAGTGGTGGTAATATATAAAAGAAAGATTGTATATAAGGACATAGTGTGCTACTTATATTGACATAAGTAGTATATTTATAATGGATTTCATACATTATCTTCATAATTTAACCAAGAAAACAAATAATATTTACACACGGGTCACGACTTAACAAATAATAAACTTGTATTTATCTACTGGATTAATACTGATCTTATGTACAAGTAATTCATTTATCTGAATTTAGATAAGGCTTATCAGAAGGAACGTAATGTATTCCCATAACTTAATAGACAAAAGAGGATTTTTAGATCGTATGACTTTTTAAACTTAACAGGATCAAAGAAAATAATTTATAGAAATTAACAAAAGTATTGACTGATAATTTCGTATGGAAATTGGCATTAGCTTGGAAGTCAACAAAAAGAACGATGCACAACACAACTATGCTATCGTAACTTCGTGCTGAAGTATAGTTGTCTTCATTTCTAACTTCGAGTGATTTGTGCAATGCAACCCTTACCGATTGTTATCAGTGAGTAATTACCTCAAATATAACTTAGAGGATTTCACAGGTTAAGTTTAAAAACTCGCTCATCAAACTATTTAGTGGTATATATATATATATATAGTACTGCAACTTCAACAACATAAGTATTTTAAAAACTAACACTGAATAATTTGCTTTGCAGAGTTCCTAGCACTTAAATTACTGAATAACTAACACTGATTGTGTTTATAGTTCGAATTATTTTTTAATGTCTTCACTTTACGTCTTTTTATGATCTAAATCATCTACCTCGGAAAAAAATACATCACTGAAATCTTCTATGAGAGCTTTAAATAATCCCCGTCGTCTGTCTTCTCAGTTCAAAAACATTTTTTACTTACATTGGAAAAATTTGACTGAGCAATGTGATTTGCTTCAGAACCATAATTTGGTGCCATAGATTGTGTCATCAGCATTGGAGATTGACTAGCTGTCATCAGTGCCATAGAGGCAGATTCTGAATAATAATTATAAGTAGAGAAAAGCAGGATACAAGTGAAATAGTTATCATAGCTATCAAAAAGGAAACTTCACGGAAAATTACTAGGATAATTTTCATGACTGACCAATCACTGCGTAGCGATCAGTGACAGGAATATCAAGTCCTTCTTAGTGCTGGTCGCTGTTATCACTTTTACCACTTTCAATTATCACGTGGCAAATGGTCAATTAGAATGTCAACTTGTATGACCTTGTACCTGTGCTAGACCAATGACACGTCAACCAGCACTGACAGCCTTGAAACAACTTTGAATCCGTATTAGCCCTCAAAATGTTAACTTCTCATCTAGACCTTCCCGTTGAATCAAGAACAAAAATATCAACCTCCTCTGTATGAATCGTATATTTCAGGCACGTGGAATATATGAGAATATATATATATAACCTATTTACTTAATAGTTATCCAATAGGAATATATATTATAATAGTCCATAAATAATCCCTAAAAGTTCGAGTTCATTTATTCTTCATTCGGGTGTGACAGTCACATTCGTTCTAAGAAGAACTTGATATAAATGACAATGATTTTTATTAAGCGACCATTCAACTGTAAATACAACTCAGTTCTGCAAGAGGTTAGTCACAATCCGGATAACTCAGTGATAGCTTCACGCACTGTGGAGATGGGTGACAGAAGATCGGATCCGTCAGAAGATATTACTTCCTTCAAGATCACATGTGCACCCTGCTGATGAGTGCCAAACAACACGCAACCTAAATCCAGGATTTCCGATAGACTCTAATTAACCACCATCTTATATTGGGATCAATATGAACCGAACAGGAATATGTGGAAGAATAACCTGAAAGTAGAATTCCTTAAATGACCTTAAATGTTATGAAGAATACTCCAAAAGAGTTTACAATTTTAATTGGCAATTAATCAACGAAAAATAAGAAAACCAATCCGTTTTTCTTCGTAAGCGCAACATACCCCCGAAAACTGGATTCGTTTGGTAATTATAAGTTTCATTTTGTTGTTGACTTTGTGACTGTTGTTGAATAAGTTCATTTGATACTAACGGCATTGCATTTTGACCAGTACGTGCAACAGTAGTAACATTTGTACCACAATTATTCAATGAAACTGTCCCATTAACATTTGTTAGCATAACCTGACCATTTTGTGCATTTGATAGATAATTTGTGTTTGTATATCCAGCATTATTATGATTATGACGAAGTGTGTTACCGCCTAAAGTATTTCCAGAATAATTAAAGGCTACTACACGTCCACCTGGTACAACTACATCAGGTAAATCCATTACATCAGCATTACTCAACATCAGATGATGTCCACCACCACCATTCAATAAAGTACCAGTTGCTGACGGTGAATTAAATTGTTTTGAACGTAACAAACTTGAACTACCACGAAAACCATTTGGATCATCACATATTTCTTTGCCACCGATGTAATACCATAGATTTGTTGAAAATAATTTACTATTCGTATAGTTTGAGTGCATAGCATGATGACGGCGACGACAGGCCCAAATCAGAATAACCAAAAACAACACTGGTATTAATAAACCTAAGATTAAAGCACCAACAAATGTCAATCCAAAGTATTGTGCCCAACTCCATTGACTTGGCAATGGTGCAGATGCTTTCTCCAGAGCTATTTACACGAGAAAAGTAGGGGTATAAAAAACATTTTATGATATATTCATAATACTAAAGATTTTGATTTATTAGATAAATGGGTGAAAACTGAAACAGTAGTAGACTAATGATCTGATTCATTTCAAAAAGGGAATGATTTCAAGCTAAACGTTACTTAATGTCGACCTTCACGGTTATTTACATCTAGTCATGATAACATAAACAACCTTGTACTGAATCAGTTAGTAAGGATCTTAAATATAAGCTATTGTTTTTAAATTTAGCGATAGAATAAGCTTGAAGTGTATGAAGCAGCAGGAAATTTTTAAAAGCTACAGTTATGCTGTACCTATGACACTAATGTTGAATCCACTATTTTGTGATGATCGCAAACATCTAAATCACTTCCGTGATGATGGAACCTATGGAAAAACCAGCTACTTAGAATAAATAAGGTAATATTTCCAGGTATATTAGCAAAGCTGTTTGTGAAAAGTGACTTTTTTAAAAGTGATTCTACTACAGTTCGAAAAAATGAGTAACATACAACACATTATACAGGTTAATACTGAAACGAAAAAGTCTTTTAGAGAAAATGATTTACAAATTTTTAAATTTTCGAGGTAGTTCACTAATTGTAAATAAATTTCATGTATTCAGTTTAGATAGTGACATTTTTTGTACAGGTTGGTGATACTATTCAACAGAAGTAGGATGTGGAGTAAAGTTTAGGTCTACGACTTAGTGGTTAGAACCATGTGTTTCACACACGAATACAAAAAGAGAGAGGTTAAATGAACTGCTACATATATATGACTGTATTCTATTCAATGAAGATTTTATTTCTTTTTACAGAAATAAACTACAGACGACATAGTATAGTTCCGTGAAAAAAAGTAACAACATTAATATACTATGCTCTAATGAAAAAAGTTATCATGCAAAATGATTTTACTTTATATAACCTACCACTACATGGTTCAGTATAGGAAGTAATATTATCGACACAGATTCTAGCATCTGGATAGCCAGCAGGAATTGTACCTTCTAATATCAGCTGCAAGGTAGAAAAAATGTAGGAAAAAATATTTTTAAAGATATATATATGATACAGATTGTTAGTGAGGTGTAGAAACTATAGCAAACATTTGGGCACTTTTTCTATCGATGAGACTGAGAATAGTTTCGATTGTCAAATGACTTGACACAAGCATAGGATGATTATTATTGTTGTTTTATATAACCGTTTGGAATAAACTAAGCCTTAATGTAAGTGTAATAATGTATTTATATACTTTTAAATGTCCTAACATACTGCTTTTCCTTCAGAAGGGAGGTATTTATATTAGGTATAGTGTATTGATTGGTGTTTGAACTTAGGTACTAAGTGTTATATATACTGCCAAGTTCGTTCACATATTTGACGAAATAATAATAAGTAAGTTACTCGAAAAAGAACTCGATATGAACAGGTGGATTCGGAAAGTCATTTTTTTAAGCACTAAAATGTTTAATGATACAAGATCTATGTGAAAACTTATGAATCATCCTAATACTGGATAACTATAAAGTGAAAATTTAATTAGTATTTTTCTAAACATAAACCAAACATATTGTAAATTATATCAGACTACTGATATGTTTGGAACCAGTGGTTAACGGTTTATAAGTCAGGTGGTCGGAGGTGATCCAAAAAGTAATCTTGAACTCGGGTTTTGTGTAAGTTGGCATTCGTCTACAAGACGTATCCGCGATATTGATAAAACTGATACCGTCTGTTGGAGCCGAACTATTGTGAATCATCTGTGAAACTTTGTACCTTACTGAAGAGTGGTAGAGAGCAAGGAACTTAGTCTAAGGATTCTTTGATGACGATTTTCAACTAACTAATATCTCAACATTATGAAAGAGATATCGAGTGAATCTGACGTGTGATAAAATCCTAACTTGACCGACATAATTCGATTATCACTGAAGGACTAGACAAACATCAGATTAGACATTATTTAGTGATCACTCAATAGTAAAATAAGTAAGATAACAATCTATGCGACTAAACGTAGGTGACCCACTACGTTACAGATTATATGTTGTAGTAAGAATTAACGAAAATCAACACTATGCAAAATGATGAAAATGAATAACAGGATAATGACTTATTTCATACTGATAAATTTTATTTTCTAGAAATTGCCTTTTTATTTACGTATGAAACAATGTTTTCAATACTACTGACAAAAATAAATCAGCTTTTCAATGACGGCACTTTAACCGGATCCCAAACCAAATCAGTGATGCACATGGGCTCCAGTATCCTGCGGGAACAAATGGCGTATGAACCAATTTTCGGTCACAGGCTTCCATGGGACTGCATCTCCTTACGATGCTCCACTGCCTTGTGGATCAGACCTTCAGGTCGGAGGCTCGAGGAGTGGCCCCTAAGAAAACCACCTGCTTCGGTTTGGGCACCCGGGTAGTATCACAGCCCTCACACATATCGAATGAGATTTGTGTGGCGCATATGTATTTGGTACCTTCTTGTACCAATATCTATCTGTTAAAATAAATAAATCAATGACTGGTAATATCGTTTATGTATATAAAATTCCGTATTTGTGGTAAAAAGAGCTCATAAACCTCAGTCACTAACTCAAAAAGTGTAATAAATTCCCACAATAATAATAATCAATAATATTAGTAATAACAATTATAATGGTAATAATAATAGTGACAACAATAGTAGTAGTCCTAATAATAATAACAATAATAATAATAATAATAGTGATAATAATAATAATAATAACAATAATAATAATAATAATAGTGATAATAATAATAATAATGACAATAGTGATGATGATGATAATAATAATAATAATTCATTTCAGTTCCAACTTGAGAAACTACACTTTATATGTGACAGTAATCAATACTATTTAGCTAACCGAACCAAATTTTGTGTGATAAGGTTCAAATGTCATATATTGGAGTGTTTCAATAATTACGTCACAATTCCAAACCAGAAAAAAAGCTACAAGGACTACTTTAAATATTAAGTACGAATTAGAAATGAGGGATAAACATAAAAACAATTGTACAAATATCATGTAAGCACTAAAAAAATTAATTATAGTTTAAACTATGCTCAAATTAATGTACTGCACTCTTCATTGGCATTGAAAAAGAAAAATTAATTACTCAGGAAGGAGATTTTTGAACCACTTTAAATGACTTAATATGTAAACCTATTGATATAGACTTAGGTATTCTTAGCATAACACAAATAAACAAACAACACTTTTAATTTATGATAAAAACAATAATGAGATTACGGGAAATGACTATTAGGATAAAGAAAAGAAAACTAAGAGGCAAACGAAAAAATGAAGTTGAGGATCAAACAAAACAAATTAAGAAGAAAGAAATATAGATGGGAAAAGAATGAAATTTAACTAACTATGAGTCATTAAACCACTCTACCTTGAAATCTTGATCAGTTGAATTTAAATTCACTACAACTGTAAGCCATTTTGTTGTTGTGTGAATAAATTGTTTGTCATTAGATGAACTCCATAATTTCGCGTTGCCACTAGACACATATATGATATATATATTTATATACAAATACACAAGAAACATACCAAAATACACCGAATTGTTTAGTCTCTGGATCAAGGGATGGTTTACAAGATCTATATATACATAATAAGATATATTAGAAAAAGTGTGAAGAAATTGTGCAAATAATTACTATTTAATTAATATGCAATACATAGACCTATTGCTTGTTTAACGAGTTGAAACAGTCAGTAGTGAAAAGAGAAAGCGAAAAAATAAACACATCAATCATACACTCTAATTCAATATACTTTCACTCAACAATACAACAAACGTATCTGACACTTTTGTCTCTCTATACAAACACATTAAAAAACTTCAGAAGAAAAATTGTTTTATAAATTACTTAGAAGAAAAACGACTTAGCTAAATCAGATTTAGACGATAGGGAATTTGATTTAAAACTGCTATCGGAAAAAAAACTACCTCTTACAATTTATTTCCCAGTTAATCGAGTAGGCAATAATAGGAAGATAAACACATGAACAAGTAACAACATAACTAAAAGATAATTTACATTACGAAATAAAGATAGTATTCTGAAAATATCATTAGAAAAACTTCAAACAGTAGTAACCGAGAATATGAAAAAGTAATCAAACTATTTTGAGATATGAGGAACCAAGTGATATCATTAGCTTTAACAATAAATGTTTAGATAAAACTTCAGGAAAAAACACATTGTAGTTTATATAAGTAAAGATGGATGGTAACTAGCAGTGGAATTTAGGATGTGGGTTTCGTCAACTGGGTGTACCTGCATCCCATGGTTAGTGTTCACTTCAGGACGTGGACTCATTTCCTTTCGCCCCACACGCCATCTCCTTATCCACTTAGCTACTAAGTTCAGATAGCCATATGCTTGTGCAGCGGGGTGAAGTTTTAATTTGTTTATGTATTGTTTGTCTGAATCTTTCGATTGATACTTAGGACTGCAATCGATTAGTCTCTTATTGGCATATGTGCATCTCGTCTCGATATCACCTTAATTTACATCAACTCTGTAGTTACATCCACTTGACGAGTCCCAAATAAGACGAAACGCGCATCCTGGATTCCACTGCTGTCACCATCCATCTTGTGAATTAAGGCAATATTGAGACAACACATACAGTATGCATATATGCCAATAAGGCACTGATCAGTCGCAGTCCTAAACATCAATAGAAAGTTTCAAGTTAACACTACCACGTAAATCATAGTTGATAATTAAGCTCATGAGCAAATAATGAAGAAATAGAAGAACTATTCACTGTGCTCTGATGATTTGCGATAATAATCCTTAATCCTGTTAACTTTAGACAACACGTATTATTTAATAAAGATCAAAGTGTTGAGAATATTAGTGCCTTACTTAATCATAACAGTCTTGTTTTAAAATCATTGTAAAAAAGCGATATGAATATATATATATATATATATATTCAAATAAATTGCTAAAATAATGAGAAAATATCAAAAGGTACCAATTAATGATCAAGGAATGTAAAATGAATAACTAATAGAAGAGTTAGTGATTAAATGAAACAATGGAGAAAAAACTAAAAATCTAGGCTGCAAATTAAAAAATTTATGATCTGCTTATCCTTGCAGAAGATATAAATTAATAAATAATCTCCAACTAAATGGCTCTATAGAAGAAAAAGCAATAATCAGCGCTTAAGCAGTACAATTCCAGTACATAAAGCGAATTCAATCAAATGTTATTTATCATCATCATAAGTCGGGTTTGGTAAGTGAAGAAAGACAAACACAACTAAATGATGTAAAAGAACTTTTTGTCTACTCTACATTTTTGTGTTGATACAATCATGATGTTGATTTTTGGTTCTTAATAACATAAGATTAAGTAAGTGTATCTGTAGTGATGTGATTTAGTAATAACCTTCAGTTATCACATGAATGTATTGCTTTAGCTAACAGGATAATGATGTTAAAATCACTATAATTAAAATATCTCATAAATTCCCATAATCACCATACCTTATAATCTGTATTTGTTGGCGGTAAATCAATCATAACTTTTGACCATTCACTAGATGAAATTTGATTTCCAGATTTGAATAAACCTTTATTATCACTAGAAAATATAATTTATATTCATAAAAAGAAAATTAATGTAATTCTACCATGTTAGAGATGTGTCACCGTTTAATCCTTTCTGAACAGTAATACATGATCTGTAGAAATAAAACAAGTCAACAATATATTTAAAGTTTATAGCTTCAACTATTACTATGAATACTAATTAATAAGGATGCAAACAAATTGGAAATTGAAAGATAAACCATTAATAAAAAAGAGGGAAAAGTAAGAATAGATATTTTTAATTAAGACAAAAAACAGTTGCAACTATTAAAATTACTACAATCTCCATAAACTCCATTCTGATAATATGTCACAATTATAACATACAAAGTACAACAATCCCAACACATC